GACCAGCTCAGAGCAGAGCCTCCACAGTGCCCAGTCCTTGCAGAGGGACCAGCGAAAACTGGAATTCCCTGCTCAGCTCCAAGTGGGAGACAAGCTAGCCTGTGTTGCTTCAGGTGAAATAAGAGGACATTGCTCCTTCCTATTCAAATGCAAATCCAAGCCCAAGTGAGGATGGGGGAAGCAAACTTATCAGAAGCCCCGAGGTTAGATTTGGGATAGGAGGTGCTGTCTGAACTCCCTTCCCTGTCTCAGGCTGGTTCTTGCTGTACCATATTCCACATGAGTCCCACTGAGGTTGCAGTCAGTCCCATCCTCCAGCGGAGCCGGAGCATTCATGGGATCCATGCGGGAGCTCCTGCCCCCTGAGAGTGAAGTGACCACAGGTGGCTGAGGCCACCTTACTGAGGTCTCCACCTAACCTGAGGCGGTCCTGCTGTGTTCTGCAACCCTCACAGCAAGCCCTGCCCCAGTAACACCTCTGCCCAGAGCATACTGGCACAGCACCCAACCCGTGCAGGGTTTCCCACACGTCTCCTGCTTGTTATTACAGTTCGGGGAAGCGAAGGGAAGGAAGAATACTGAAAAAATGCAAGATCTCCCCACCCAGACCTGCTCAAGGGCAATGGAGAAGGTGGAGAGCAACCGCCAGCTTGTCAGCAGAGACTGCGTTGGTGTTGGGAGGCTGAAGGGACGGAAGCGCTCGTGGGCTGCTCAGGAGGGAGCTGCTGGCAAGGGAAAAGCATCCCTGCGTCTAGGAGACACGTCATGAGCTACGCGGGAGAATGGCTGTCAGACAGGGCTTGCGTGGAAGGCTGCACTATGTAGCCACGGGCAGCGTGGTTGTGGCTCTAGGATGCTGCCAGCAAGGACCAAGGTCAGCCAAGGATGGTTTAGGAAGGGATCTTCCTTAGGAAGAAGATATTGGGGACCAACTGGACTCAGCACAAACAGATCAACACCTTTACAAGTGCCACGGTGCTTGCTCATAATGTCAGACCAGACCGTGGGACCGACATCCCTGGCTCAGTCTTACTGACAGCGTAACTGTGCTTTGATCTCTCCAGTTCAGCTTCACTTTCCATGAATATTGATAAGCATCCAGCATTTTCCACCACAATCAGATCCTTCCAGAGTCCTGCTTATGCCTGGACTGGAGCTTCAGCAGAGATTAAAACCCCCAAACCCCAGCTATACGATACAGGTGGAACCTCCATGTGATATCTTTGCTGCTCCCTGTCGCTACCTGCCTTGAAATGAGAAGATTTTATGTTGAAATCCTGACAGCTCTATCAATGTTTTCGCACGTTAGTGGATTTGCTCCAGCTGAGCTTTGAACCAAACCAGTGCCTGTTTGCAGGGAGTCCTGAGAAAGCGACCCTGATACTTACTGGGTTTTGGTGTCAGTGGACACTGGGATGGGGGATGTGATGGGACAGGGTGACATGGCTGTGCTCCTGCTTAGCTCTGTCCTGCCCAGCTCTATGTGACCTCCAGCACCAAGAGACCAAAGCACCCCAAAGCCACATACCTGCAGCCTGGCAAAACATAACTCATGCTCTCAGATTGCCTGGAAACACCACATCGCCTCAACTCCTAGTGGAGCACCTGCTGAGGATCTGGCAGCGTCTGTCTGGGCACGTCCCAGAGTTTGGTGGAGGCCTGAGTCCACAGATGAGGGTCATAGCACCACCTGGTGAAGTGCTGCGGCTTGACTTTGGCTTGACCATGGGGAAGCACAGCAGCTCCAGTATCACCTGTGTTGCCACTAAAATATAAAGCCAAAAATAATAAAACAAAACAAATAAAACCAAAATTAATAAAAATGATAAAAATGAAAAGGGAGGGAAGAGGAGCAGAAGATGACCGTTAGGGCAGATCTGCAGGCAGCACGCACAGGGTGAGTGTGCACATTTGCACATTTTGTGATTCTGTGAGCATGCACAGAGCAGCAAGGACATGCACAGAGCAGGGTGGGTGTGAAGGTGTGAGCACGCACGGAGCACTGGGACAGCTCTGTCAGTCCCGGGTGAGAACAAAACCTGCAAATCTATTCAGTGGGTGTAGACCTAGCCAGGTTAAACTTCCTGTAGGTCACAGGCACTGGTGTGAAGAGGTAATTAAAGATGCATATTAGCCTCCTCCTGAGAGATAGGGAGTGTGGAGCTTCCCCTGTCCTCTCTATGAACCTCATCCTGCAACAGGTTCCTCTCCTACTCTCCCATTAATGGATGTGTCCTTCCAAAATTGGTGTTTGGGGTGCAATAATTAACTCCTTAGCACAGTGCAGGCGGGGTAGGTTTCTGAGCAGGTCTGTAGGAGTCCTGCCTTTCCTGGGTCACATCAAGCAGGCAAGGCATGACTGGCAGCACAGTACCTAATTACCCACATCAGCTTTAACTTTCCTTGCTGCAGCCCTGAGCACCCGTGAGGATCTTGCAGAGGGTTTCTGCTATGGGGCAGCAATCCAGAACTCCTAGTTCCATGGGAGGGGGCTCTGCCTTTTGGCTGTGGCCTCAGTGAGCACTGTAATAACTTGAGAGTTATTAACCTGTGCACCGCGGTTTCCTGGCCGCACAAGCAGTGAGCTGCACTTCAGCGGCGGTGGGCACCTGCACTGCCCTCTGACTCCCCTTTTGGCTTGTGCTGGTGTTAGGTCAGGCATCAGCTTTTAAAGTAAAACCAGCTCCACTCCAGAGAAATCCTGACAAAGACCTCTTCAAAAATCCAAAACGATTGTATCACTTAGAAAGGCAGAAAGCTTCAGCTCGCTGTCCACCAGCATCCCAGATCCCTTCCTGCAAAGCTTCCTCTGGCCCCCACCTGCCCCGTTGTGTGGGGTTACCCTGTGCCAGAGGAAGGACTTTGCATTTGTCTCCATTAAATGTCAGTAAGTTCCTGCCAGCTCACTTCTCCAGCTTGTCAAGGCTCTTTGAATGGCAGCCCTGTCCTCCAGCCTGACTGCTCCTTGCTTTAATGTCTCCTGCAGACCTGCTGAGGGTTCAAGACACTTGGCTGCCCAGTCTCTATTTTGGGGGTCAAATACCTACACTTTTCCTCCACCTGCCCTGCTGACTCAATCTGATCTGGGATGTTGCATCTGAGGTGCAAAAAGGCTTGAGCGCTGCAGCTTTATTTTCAAAGCTGCCCAGTGCTCCTGCAGAGGGAGAGCTTTGGGATGCAATAGCCAAAGCCTCTGCCCCGACTTTCTGATAGGAGGTAGAAATCTGGGGATACGTGGTGGCTGCACCCCCGGGGACGAAGCATTAACTCAGGGCTGCAAGAGGCGACACTAATCCTGTCCGGTGCCTCCTCCCTGACCTTACCTGCAAGGCAGAGACGAACCTCACGCTTCTGCCCGGTCCTTGCAAGCCTTGCCAGGCACGCTCCCGCCTTCGAGGTGAAGGCTGATCCAGTCTCCAGTGCCACCTGCCGGCAAATCATCCTTGACAGAAGCTGGAGCCTCCAAGCCGTCCCCACCAGTGCCAGTCACTGTCCTGTGCTGGGACGGGGAGACCTGTGCAACCCAGAGCCGTGGGGCCCTGGACCCCCAAGCAGACCCCAAAAGTTGAGGGACAATGCTCTGTAAAAGCCATCCATACCCCACCCACCCCCAAGACCCTTTATCATCATTCCCTTCATCCAGCCCCTTTTAAACCTCAAACCCTCCACAGCAATTCTCCTCTGCTACATCCTGAGCAGGATTCCCCTCGGTGTCTTCCTAACCCTGGGCTGGGACGTTCTCTGGGTGGCTCTGGAAGGAGATACCCAGCGTATCTCCAGGAACGGCATGAAATTTATGGCTCCACCCAGCAATAATAAGATGCTAACGAACTGTAGTAATGAGATGCTAACGAGGCTGCACCCAGGGGTGTGGGAGGCAAAGCCCTGGGTATCTGAGCATTATTCAGGGGGAAGGAGGCAAATCTGAGGCGAGAAGGAACCAGCAGCTCAAGGAGCTGTCATTTAATGTGCAAGACAGGCAGCAACACGTGTAGGGCACCAAGTCTGGGGGCAAAAAGTCATTTCCAAGGGAGTCCTCAGCCCTGGAGCGGGCAGCCAGCAGCAGGAGGACCACAGAGAGACGTCTTCAGCGGGCTAAGCATTAGGGAAGATGAGGAAGCCGGAGAAGATGCTGTCGGATCCATCGATCCCTATCAGAGAGTTCTTCTCCGTTGGCTCCAGCCAGACGGACTCGCCAGCTGCCATCTTGAGGACCACGCCACCCGTGGTGACCTGGTAGCTGTTGTGCACGTAGTCGCAGAAGGTGACCACCTTCTCGCTGTTGCTGCCACCCCGGCCCTTTTTCACGCTGAGGCACAGGTTGCCCCTGGAGGTGACGTGGTAGGTGAAGTAATAGATGCCTGGGACCTGGCAGGTGAAGCGGCTGTACCGGTTCTCATAGTGTCCCTTCTCGTTGGTGATAATGCGGTCAAAGCGGACGGGCTGGTCCCGCCGGGGGGAGTAGCTGATGGTCCTGGCAGCGGAGAAGGCGGACTTGAGGTTGGTCTTGTAGTCACCTGTGTCCCCCTGAGGGCCACGGGGTCCCTCGGGACCTGGTAATCCCCTTGAACCCGGGGGGCCCTTGGGGCCAAATTTCCCAGGGTTCCCTGGCGCTCCTGGTTCTCCCTTCTCCCCTATGTCTCCATCATGCTCCTGGCCAGGGGGACCTAGAAAGCAGGAGGAAGGGTTGTTGTGGTCACAGCCCAGCCCCTCGGGTCTGTAGAGGGAGCACTGGGAAGCAAACTACAGGCATGTGCAGGTCAATGGAGACCCCAACCCACCTGGCAGCTGTGACACCCTTTGCTCTCGTGCACCCTCCCTCCCCAGGTTCCCTGGGGTGCTCCAGTCTGTCCAACCCCTTCTGTCTGCCAGCATCACCCCCATCTGATAACACGCCAAAGGGACTGGTGGAAAACAGATTGTTTTCCCAGGACCGTGCACCTGGCACTGTCTTTTCCTGCTCTCAGTATTCACAAGATGACATTTTCCTCACCTGTAGCCTACTCCTTACCTCGGTCGCCCTTTGGGCCGGTGTTGCCATCTCTGCCATTGCGGCCAGGCTGTCCTGGTGACCCTGGGATGCCTGGGATGTGGCCGTGGGTCTTGCAGAGTGTGGCACTTGCGAGCTCCCCTCCAGCCAGGCAGATCAGCATCGCCCACACGGTCTGCATCTGCTGGAGCACAGAAGGATGTCGAGGGGCTGGCCTTTCCCCTTTCCGTGTCCCTCTTTCCCCAGGTGGAACTGGAGGGGTCAGGCTCCCATCGGGGATCTCCGCCACCACCAGCCCAGCAGCTCTTTTTCTTTGTCTTCTGCCCCAAACTGCAGCAAAGTGACCCTGATGCAGGGGGTGACTGTCACCCCAGCACTGCCAGGTATCCTGCATGCTCCTACCTGCAGGGAGATCTGGGGCTCAGCTTTGCCGACATTTTTCTCTTACCTTGAGCTTCTCGTTGTGCAGATGGAGGCAGGACACGCCAGTGCCCTTCTCGGAAATGACTGTGAGGAGAAGCGAAAGCTTGCTGTAAGGCTTATTGTGAAAGGATCTGGGCCACATCCCTTTTTTATCTTTAGCTCCCACCCTTTCTTCAGTGGCACTTTCATATCCTCCCCGAATGCTGTCCGTCAGCACAGCAGAACCTGCCATCCCCAAACAACGCCCTGGTGCCTCTTGGGCATCCAGCTCTGGCCTGAGAGAGCAGAGGGATGGTCGCCCTGCCCTGCAGGGTCCCCACATCCTGCTCCAGTGGCCTTGCTGTGGGGAACGCTGCTGTTCCAGGCAAGTTTGGGGTAACCCCTCAGGACTGTAGGAACATGCATGCACTTAACTAGCACCCCTCAGGCTTCTCTGCACACACCCAGCTCTGCAGGCTCAGAGGATGCTACAGGGTCTCAGCATCTTGAATCTACCCCCCAGGCTCTCCTAAATGTTGCAGACAGGGAGTGATTTTACCCTGCAGTAAAAGCATTTCCAGTCCTGTTTTCTACTGATGCCCTGAGGAGGTGGAGCACAGGACGTTCAGGGGAGATGACCTCCTTTCCCACTGTACAATGTGCCACCAGGAGCAATGTCCATTGGGTTTTGGTGGGCTCTGTCACAAGCAACTTTGGTCTGGCTTGGGGAAGCCAGTGCTGCTTCCCTTGCCTCTCCCGGGTGTGGCTGGGACCCTGGAGGTGTCACTGCGGCTGAGGGTCCTGCCACATTGAGCAAAGCCAGGGTTGTGAATGGTGTGTGATGCTCATTGATGCTCAGCATATCATATCATATCAGATCATATCATATCATATCATATCACAT